CATAATACAAGCACACACTGAAGAAGATGGAAAAGCAGAAGTGACTGGGCCAATTGGGAATCCTAGCTCTGTAAATCACTGTGGTGAGCAGGTACCTGCTCATTATTTAGATAATGAGATTAATGTAACAACACACCACATTGCAAGGCAGGTGGGTAGAGGGAGGATTTGAAACTAATGGAGAATTGGCAGTCTTGTATATACTTGTCCGCTGAAGTCCCATTCCCTTGCAGCCCTATTGAATGTCAGGTGTGACAAAACATTGTTTCTTCCCACAGTTAATTGGATAAATATTCTTGTCCATTTGCAAACTTTGGGTTTGCGCACTCTGCCTACTTTGGAGCTAATCTGCATGAAAACAGATTCAAAGCTTAGTTTCAGTGAGATCTTTCTGCCCAGAGTACCTCTTCAAATGCAAACACATTGCCTATTATCCTTCCAAAGGCTACCTGACTACTCATGTCTAGGAAGCCCTTACAAAGAATTGCTTTTGGATCTTAGGTTGAGGGTCACAGGTTCCGCACCCCTACATTAATGCCCCATATTTTTTGTTGTTCTACCTTGTTACAAAGTCCAGAAGAGTTCAGCTATACCTCACCTGTTGGAGAGATGCAACATTAATATTTTGAATGTTGGGGACATTCAAAATATTAAGTTATAGATTTTAGTGACGCAGAAAAGTAGGAAATCTAAGATACTCCTTTTTTCCCTTCTCCCTCCTCACTGCATGGTATTCAAAGCTTTCAGTAGGTGTTAGGACACAGGACAAATTGGTTATTACCACATAAACTGGGGTTGGAGAGAAACTGTGTGGTGAGGAGCCTCTTGTACTTGCAGGTGTTCCCTGCACAGTTCAGAAACTAAAAATAAAAGTACAGAGCCTCCATGTGTGGAAAAGTCTCCCTGCTTCACAAAGCTACTCTCTAACTCCTGGAGAACAATGAAGAAGGCAATGAAGAGGAAGAATTAGGGCTTATATAGACTTATATTTTGCCCCGCTCTTTCCAGGCACAGACCCGTGCTTAAAAGCTCTGTGCCTGAGTGGTTTGGGGCTCCTTTTTGCCCCGCCAAAAAACTACTCTTTAATGCTCAATCAGAGCAAACATCAATCCAGGTTTTCCATGGACTGCCCTTGTCCCTGTGGCTCCCCTTATGAAATCACAGCATGCAGATTAAGAACCAGGAGCAGCTGGCACAGTGAGATGGCATTGCACTAACCAGGGCATTGTGGGAGTGGGTGGTGGCAAAGGCGCAGGCAATTTGATGCTCCTCTGCAGCCCTGATCTTGCTGCTGCCTGCAGTGGTACTACAGTGGTACCTTGGGTTAAGTACTTAAGTCGTTCCAGAGGTCTGTTCTTAACCTGAAACTGTTCTTAACCTGAAGCACCACTTTAGCTAATGGGGCCTCTTGCTGCCGCCGCGCCACCGGAGCACGATTTCTGTTCTTATCCTGAAGCAAAGTTCTTAACCTGAAGCACTATTTCTGGGTTAGCAGAGTCTGTAACCTGAAGCGTATGTAACCTGAAGCATATGTAACCCGAGGTACCACTGTATTGGAAGGGCGGCTCCTACTGCTCCTGTTAAAGGTGCTTTGTTGTCTTAGATCTGTGTCTCCCCATTTCACACTTGTCTGCCCTACAACCCTGTGGATAGCTCAGTTGGTACGGTGTAAGACTCTTAAATCTCAGGGTTGTGGGTTCAAGTCCCACAATTGGGTAAAAGTTTCCTGCATTGCAGGGGGTTGGACTAGATGATCCTTGTGGGTACCTTCCAACACAACAACTCTTTGATTCTATAAGAAAGTGACAAACTCTGTTATCTTTTCTTCTTTGCCTCAGGACATCTCTTCAGGAAAGAGAGGCTGACAGTACAGGAGGGCTGAGGATAAGCGTCTGAAGAAAAATGTGCCCTGAAAATAATCTCTCTATTTCCCAGATGTGAGTCTGTTCACATCTTGCTTCAAAATGCTAAAAGTACCACTAAAGACAGAGGCCTTATGATCATGATTGCATTAGTCGGTGTCAAAATGAGTTAAGATGGGTAGCAGACCTTATGCCTTCAGTTCCCAGAATGTTTTTGACTGCAAATTCCTCTCAAGATTGTTTTACACTAGTAATAAGTTTAGTCCTGGTGCACTGAATGAATATAAATGCAGCAGCTAAGGGAATCCCACTGTGTATCATTTAATCAGATAATCTGCCTGCATCTAACATCAGGAGAAGGGAACACCACCAGCCATTACGCTTCCATAAGCAGTCGATGTTTCAACAGCAGTTACTAAATCCTTATTTTAAAATTATACCTCTTGTCAGCTGAGGAATTTATATCCGCAGTGCTTTACTTAAGATTGGCTACTCCTGCAGGTTAATAATCATGCAGCTGGTAAATTACTTTTCTCTCTCCTTCCTGACTTTTTGGAGAGGTCTGTGACACTGGGAAAGCCTTATTTATGAGAGATGTCAGGTTACTTTGGCCCATTATGGACATGACCCTCATTTTGGTACAACCAGCATAAATCAGAAATGGTAGTAGTGGTGCAAGTCAGAAACAGGCCCATAACAGAGTGGTCACAGAATCCTTTTGTACTGAAATGTGCTTTTTCATAGAATTGTAGAGTTGGAAGGGAGTCCAAGGGTTGACTAGTCCAATGTCCTGCAATGCAGTAATCTTTCACCCAACATGGACCTGAGATTAAGAGTCTCATAATCTACTGACTAGGGACACGGGTGGCGCTGTGGGTTAAACCACAGAGCCTAGGACTTACCGATCAGAAGGTCGGCGGTTTGAATCCCTGCGACGGGGTGAGCTCCCGTTGCTCGGTCCCTGCTCCTGCCAACCTAGCAGTTCGAAAGCACGTCAAAGTGCAAGCAGATCAATAGGTACCGCTCTGGCGGGAAGGTAAACGGCATTTCCATGCGTTGCTCTGGTTCGCCAGAAGCGGCTTAGTCATGCTGGCCACATGACCCAGAAGCTGTACACCGGCTCCCTCGGCCAGTAAAGTGAGATGAGCGCCGCAACCCCAGAGTCGGTCATGACTGGACCTAATGGTCAGGGGTCCCTTTACCTTTACCTACTGACTGAGCTATGTTGCAGCTTCAGCTCCCGTCAGCCCCAGCCAGGCCAAGGGTCAAGAATGATGACATCTAGAGGCCCACACACTCCCTACCGATGCTTTGCACGGATGTGTGCGCTCATGCACACTTCCTCCAGGCAAGGTGTACAAAGAAGCTGTCCATACCACTGGTTTTACACTGAATATTTTACAAAATGAACTTCCTTGAACATTAACTTGCATCCTTTGTTTTCGGGGTGGGGGTGGGAACCACCACAGAAAATTGAAAGATGCGAGGCATTAAACATTCCTCACTGAAATACCATTAAGTTATAATTCCGCACTGTTGCAAGCCTACAGTGAAGGGTTGAAGAGTAAAGGCAGAGAGCTGCAAGGAGCCTCAAAGGTCATCCATCCAAGTCCCTGTAGGATTTACTTGACTAAAGCCACACCCACCAGATGCTCATTTAGGCTCCATGCCTGTGTGATCTTGGCAACATGAAGCAGCCAATCCATATGGTCAGGACTGCCTGCTACAGCAGTAATGTCTGCAAGCCAGAACAACATGGTTTGGATGGATTGTGTTTGTAGTTCCCATACCAAAACTGCATTTCAATTATTTCATTGTAATATATACTACAGATAACATCTCCAGTTATTTTATGAGAATGATAATACGTAATATGGATGCATGCAGAATGTTTGTGTTTTTTTGTAGCATCCATATGATGTGTTGGCATTCCTACCCTCTCTTACCGTTCAGAAAGGGACGCGGGTGACACTGGGTTAAACCACAGAGCCTAGGGCTTGCTGATCAGAAGGTCAGCGGTTTGAATCCCCGCGACGGGGTGAGCTCCCGTTTCTCGGTCCCTGCTCCTGCCAACCTAGCAGTTCGAAAGCACATCAAAGTGCAAGTAGATAAATAGGTACCGCTCCGGTGGGAAGGTAAACGGCGTTTCCGTGAGCTGCTCTGGTTCGCCAGAAGCGGCTTAGTCATGCTGGCCACATGACCCGGAAGCTGTACGCCGGCTCCCTTGGCCAGTAAAGCAAGATGAGAGCCGCAATCCCAGAGTCGGTCACGACTGGACCTAATGGTCAGGGGTCCCTTTACCTTTACTTTACCGTTTAAAAAAAAAGAAAAATCTGGTAAGTTAAAAAAAAATGGTTGCCAACGACTTGTTTGCAATATCATATTATAATATGAAACCCCCATCTAGAAGCCTAATTTGTTATAGTCAATATTCCTTGCACATCATAGGAATGCATCTTTCTGGGTATCAATCACATAACTTGGCCAAACCATGTCATCACTAGTTGCATACATCACCAAGCCAAGAAGAAGCCCCAGTTGTGTGACAATGGGTTGCCACAGGCTCCTGCACCAACGATAAACTGCAACTGGGCCACTTGTGTTCCTGATATGTAAGCAAACTGTTCCTAGGCAACAGCATTTCTAATAACCCATAAAATCAGAGGACTAGCTTGGCTAGCAAGAATTCCAGTATTGCACAGAAGCCACCAGTTGGTCCAGGAGATGATTTAACAGTATGTGAGAGACTCGTGCAAATGGAAGGCAATGGGTTAATTTGGGGGCATTCTACAGTGGCTGCAAATCAAACGAAGTTTTTGCTGTGATTGTAGTCTCCCATTTCCCACATGTATCAACTGAGATTAAGCTATAAATACTATAAACAGAAAAGCCTCTGACAATTTTCATGAGCATACTGGCTGCATGGATTTCAGTTACACTGAGCAATATTTTCTTTTTTCAGCAGAGGATTGATATCAGAGCTTCATTATAATTCAATGCTTTGCCCCCCCCTGCAACCCCCCCCCAAAAACACCCTAAGGGCTTTGCATTTCACTTTTTTCTTTCTTTTAGAAACGCCAATATTACAGTAAACAGCTTTGTTTCTCAGTAATCAACCACATGACAATCTGATCTTACCTCTACATAGAGGATAGGAAATATTCCAATCTTATCTCCCAGCATTCCTTCCGCCCAATTATCATCTACTCTCCTGATGACAGTCAAGACTTCATCCTAAAAAAAATGACAGATATCACAACATAATATACAAATAGGCAGATTTTCACACTTTGTTTCTAGGGGGGGGGGAGAATGTGCCCTAAAAATCACCCACAAAGCAAAACAGAAGAAAGCTCTCCAAGTAGCAACCAGGTCTTCCATAAAGGGAAGTCATGGTTAGTTATACTTTTCAGTCTACTTTTCCAACTGTTAATGCAATGGGAAGACCATAGACCAATTATTAGAATTACAGTGGTACCTCGGGTTAAGTACTTAATTCATTCTGGAGGTCTGTTCTTAACCTGAAACTGTTCTTAATCTGAAGCACCACTTTAGCTAATGGGGCCTCCTGCTGCTGCCAGAGCACGATTTCTGTTCTCATCCTGAAGCAAAGTTCTTAACCCGAGGTACTATTTCTGGGTTAGCGAAGTCTGTAACCTGAAGCGTATGTAACCTGAAGTGTATGTAACCCGAGGTACCACTGCATTTAGCCACTGTAAAATAGGAACAGGAATTTCTGTAAGATATACAATATTAGTCACCTTAACGTGTTTGTTTATTTAAAACAATTTATATACCGCTCAAAGAGGTTTGCAATAATGTGTTTGTAGTGTTTTCTAGCAGGGATAGAGATACCTCCAGGTATAGGGCAGTATATAAATTCAATCAATCAAATTACCAAACACCATGAACATCAGCCAGTATGGCCATTAGCCAAGGATAATGGGAGGGTGTGGTCCAACTGCGACTGGAGGGTCCTAGGTTCTCCCTCCTTGCCATTTATTTTATTGAATGTTGGTGATGTGCCTCACTTGATAGAAAAAGAATGGATCACCATGTACACCAACTAAGGGGTTAATGTAGTGTTGGGGAACCTGTGACTCTCCAGACATTCATTCATTCTTTCTTTTATTTATTTACTGCCCGTCATTCGAGGCTTCATAGGACGCTTTACAATATAAAAACACAAAAAAAATGCATAACATAGTAACAAACAAACACCACAGTTTAGAAGGCCATATATTGTTTAATTAGCCAAAGGCCTGGGAGAAGAGGAATGCTTTTGCCTGGCACCTAAAGATGTACAGTGGTACCTCGGGTTAAGAACTTAATTCGTTCTGGAGGTCCGTTCTTAACCTGAAACTGTTCCTAACCTGAAGCACCACTTTAGCTAATGGGGCCTCCTGCTGCCGCCACGCCGCTGCTGCACGATTTCTGTTCTCATCCTGAAGCAAAGTTCTTAACCTAAAGCACCATTTCTGGCTCAGTGGAGTGTGTAACCTGAAGCGTATGTAACCTGAAGCGTATGTAACCCGAGGTACCACCTCCCTAGGCGAACCTCCCTGGTGAGAGCATTCCACAAACGGGGAGCCACTGCAGAAAAGGGAGGGAAGGAGGGAGGAAAGTACAAACTTGCAGAAATTATTGCCCCCCCCCCTGAAGGGACCAGGGCCCCATAGAGTTGGCACCTATGAAAGGAACCATATGCCAGGTTATATATGAAGCAAGAGCACTGTAACTTGATCCTGCACCAATACTACAGTTTCTAGTATGAGAAAAGACTTTCCAACTACTTGAAAGTGTAAAAGAATTACACTATATAAGTAATCTATATCTAAATATCCCTGTTATTACTTGTTTCCCAAGATAAAAACGAATTTGTGGCTGCATACACTCCACACACTTCAATAACATAGCTCCCCGCCCACCAGAATCCTGGAACTGTAGTTTAGTCCTCACAAAGCTGTGGTTTCCATCACCCTTAACATACTGGATCCCAGGATTCCTTGGGGGAAAGTCATGTGCTTTAAACGCATGGTGCGTAAGCAGCCGGCAGCTCAGGAAATAGAAAACTGAAATCTATCAGAATATATTGGTTCAAAGTGTTGACCCAAAATCTCTTCCCACTTGTTACATTTGCTTAGTTCATGCAGTCTTTCAGAAGACTGTACTCCGATGACTGAATATATTGAAAAAGGGAGACACATTTCCTGGTTTATTTCCCTCCCACCCCTTCAAAGGCCACCGACTAAGCTGTACCTGCCCAAATCCTACTTCCACTGCAGCTGCAGAATTTGCATATATGCCTGGAGAGAAGTCAGTGGGATGACACTCACTGACACTCACTGGAGAAAAGCACAGCTGTTGCCAGGGTTGTAAGATTGATTTGAGTATCACATTGAGAAATTCTATGGATCACTCCATGTCCTTTTCTGACTGAGAGCAGATTTGAATGTCACATTATATGTGCAAACAGCAGATGTGAGAACATTTGTCTCTGTACTTCCCCACTAATAAAGTAACATGCAAATTATTGATTTATGGGTCTCCGAGCTATGTGCAATTCATACTCACAGAAACTAAAAATCTGCATCTGTCAATCCATATTTGATACTGTGGAGCATTCCAAAGAAAAGCACAGGTTTTTCACCAAACTCCTTCCTAGAAAATTCAGCACAATCCTGACCCCTCCCACTTTAACTTTGCAACATCCCCTTATTTTGCAAATGTGATGATTTGGCACAATCTGTTCTGGTTCTGCTACTCACGGACAGGGACATGGAGCACTGAACGTAGGGCAGTACCACCCTAACCACTGGGAATCTTTCTCAGCCTTCTGTCTAGCTTCTGAGATCACAGCAGGGGTTGCCCACAAAAATTCAAGCACATATTTATAGCTGTTCCAAGTGCTAGAAAAGTCAAACTAACAAAGAAAGACGAAGATTCTTGGGAAGCCAGAACGCTTGCCCAACGCCACATTTTGTGTTTATTGTAGAATCACAGCACACCCCCAGCCCATCCCTGACTGTGATCAGTTTCCACAGGTTCCCAGAGTTTATCTCAAGCCATGGGTTGATTTCTATCCATCCTGGCTGGCTCTTTATGTTCATTTTTACTTTTAAAAAAGATTAGACAAATTCATGAAAAATATGTCTATTTGTTAACATGCGTCGTTGGTCACGTATACACACAACGAAGTGTAGACGTGTATCCAATCAATGTACCTTATAATATCTTCAGCTCAGAGTCATGGCACGTCAGAGGAAGAGTTACACTGATATGAGATGGAATTACATTCAGGCGACACATGAAAATAACAAATGACCACAAAATATGGAAGTCTAACAAGGATGCATGGTCAGTAGAAGGAAATATCAGTACTGTGCAGGCAGAGGGTAGCTTGGACCAATAGCTGTTTTAGTATTGGCAGTAGAGCCAGTGTGGTGTAGTGGTTAAGAGCGGTGGACTCGTAATCTGGTGAACCGGGTTCGCTTCCCAGCTCCTCCACATGCAGCTGCTGGGTGACCTTGGGCTAGTCACACTTCTCTGAAGTCTCTCAGACCCACTCACCTCACAGAGTGTTTGTTGTGGGGGAGGAAGGGAAAGGAAAATGTTAGCCGCTTTGAGACTCCTTCGGGTAGTGATAAAGCAGGATATCAAATCCAAACTCTTCTTCTTCTTCTAGTTATATAGTAGTTATACAGAGAGGGAGAAAGACAAGGGAATTACTGTTGCCAAGTAAGAAGAGAGAAGGGCACTGGGGATCTGGCAAGCTGCATGACAGACCTTGATGTAACAGGGTGAACCTGTGTTGAGATATAAGTGGCATGGGATTTGGGCAATGTGAGTGGCAGGATAGAGAGTTCAGAGAGGCTACTAGGAAAGTTACAGAGGAAGACTGAAAGCACATATTTTTACCAGTTCCAGAGAGAAGGGAACCTTTGGGAGCTGCATTTTGGTGGGTGGCTTCCATTCCCATGCAACAGTGCGGAACTAATGCGGGCAAGTCTTTTAGGCTCCCTTGAGTCCTAGATGATGCAGGCTCCAAAGAAACACAAACCTGCCTCCTCCCCAAACCCTGCTAATTGGTGAACAAAAGAGATGTCTTGAAGGAAAAGCACAAGGCTGGGGAATCCCTCAGGTTCCCAACTAAAGGGAGAAACAAAACAACAAAGGGTTGGGAACACTGGGGGAGAAAGAGAGAGTCCCTATTTGAATGTAGTCTACCTGGTGGAGTGAGTGTAAGATACAACCCACCCAAGGACCCCTTCCATCCACTACAGGAAAATCCACATGTTTACCTGTGTTTAGTCTACAGACCTAATGAAGTGCATCTTTTCTTCACTACTTGCTAACCCACACAGCATATTGATTTCCATACAGCGAAAGATGGGAAACCTGTTATTTCAAACGCACTTTCCATTGTTTTGCAGTGACACTTTATGTTCTTTCTTCTGTTTATTGTAGCCAAAAGGCTTCAGAATTAGTCACTCTCTGACACTCTCCTCCCAAAGGTATTGTTAAGATGAGCAATTCCATTTTATAACTACTGCCAGAAGCTATGCTGAAGATCCATAATTTCAATCAAGATTGATTTACAAAAGAAAAGGTGGGATCATCTCTTTGTTGGGTGGGTGGGTGGGAATAAATGAAATTATGTCTCAAACCCAGATATACCACATGGCATGGCATGAATTAAGGTCATTTTATTGAGAAAGCACAACCAAAATGATTAATGGAAAAATTTGAATGACGGCAGAATGGCATCACAGCATGCAGTGTTCTGCTGTCACTGTTGTCAATATTTGCCAGCTGGTAATAAATGCTTGCGCCCATTTATAGCCATACAAAAAGAAAACACTCTTTTCAGGATTGATTGCTAAGGATATAATGCTGGTATTCTCATTGTGCACAGTTATTACCAATAGAAAAATAATTCTAGCTTGATAAAGTGGGGATTCAGGGTGGCATTCAGCATAATAATAGTTGAATACTACGCATGGTCATTCACTCCCCTTTCTCCCAGCTCTAAAATTGATCACTTGCACAACAGGCCTCCTATATATTATATTAAGTGACTTAGTTCTAACTTTAATTGTTGAGTAATGCTCTGAACTGTGAAGGAGAAATCAGTGTTAGGAGTGCATGCCTGGCCATGCCATTTGTTACCAGCTAAAAGCTCAGAAACGCGGGTGGCACTGTGGGTTAAGAGCCTAGGACTTGCCGATCGGAAGGTCGGCGGTTCGAATCCCTGCGACGGGGTGCGCTCCTGTTGCTCGGTCCCTGCTCCTGCCAACCTAGCAGTTCAAAAGCATATCAAAGTGCAAGTAGATCAATAGGTACCGCTCTGGCGGAAAGGTAAACGGCGTTTCCGTGCGTTGCTCTGGTTCACCAGAAGCGGCTTAGTCATGCTGGCCACATGACCTGGAAGCTGGCTCCCTCAGCCAATAAAGCGAGATGAACGCCACAACCCCAGTCACGAATGGACCTAATGGTCAGGGGTCCCTTTACCTTTACCTTAAAAGCTCAGAAAGGCCTGGGAAATATCTCTTTATGGGAATCAATGTATAGGAAAGGAAAGGGGTACTTGTGGTTTTCCAGTTATCATTTGACAGCCCTAGGCAGCAGAGTCAACAGCTAGGGATGGTCAGACAAGATATGGAGAGTCACGTGAGAGGTGCATTTTGCATGGTGCTTATGCTTGTTTTTACAATATTTCCCCAATTGCTGCTATACAGACAAACCAGCTATGCCACAGAGGAATACAAGCTCCAGATCTTCAATTTGAGCAATTGCCTGCTATGATGTCCCAAGCCATCTCTTCCTCGATCCGTTGTGGTTTTTTTTTTGGGGGGGGGGGAGAAATGAGGAAGGAGACTCTACATATGCTCAGAGGTGACCTGAAGGAGAAGGATTTTTGAAAACAAAAGCTGATAACGAGAGCTAGGAAGCATTTTTTAATTCAAAGGTCAACAGATTGCTATTTGATTAATTACTGGAATAATAATAATAATATAATAATAATAATAATTTATTATCTGTACCCCGCCCATCTGGCTGGGTCTCCCCAGCCACTCTGGGCAGCTTCCAACAAAGATTAAAAATACATTAAAATGTCACACATTAAAAATTTCCCTGAACAGGGCTGCATTCAGATGTCTTCTAAATGTCAGGTAGTTGTTTATCTCTTTGACATCTGATGGGAGGGTGTTCCACAGGGCGGGCGCCACTACCAAAAAGGCCCTCTGCCTGGTTCCCTGTAGCTTTGCTTTGTAGCTTTTCTATGTTGTGGGGCACAACATAGAAACATGGCAAATGGGGATGGGAAAGAAAATCTGGAGCGGCTTCTGAGTTTCTGGATTGGAAGGGCTGACCTGAATCCCACTGTAAAAGAAATAGTTGCAACAACACACCACATTATTTTATAGTAATATGTTTCGCTAGTGAATTTGAAAGACTGGACCCTGGAATGCATTCATTAATGTAGTCACTTCTAAATATCCCACACAACGCTTTAAGTGAATCAGATTGTGATTTAACAGAAGGCCAAACACTCCTCATACTGTTCTTATTTATGCAGGGTTTGACACATGCAACCCTACAGACTTCACTGCAGAGTCATTAATGGAAATGAGATTGAAATCCAGCCCAGGGTCTCCAGGATGCATATAAGGCCCCCTCTCTTTCCCAGCCACATCAAAATGAAAATGTGAAGCCTAAAATTCCTCTGACTGACAGAACCATATCAGTAACAACACAGAGCTTGCGCCATTCACGGAGGAGCTGAGCTAACTGACTTCAGCAGTGTGTGGGATCTGAAATCCATCTAAACAGGAAGAGCTTCATCAGCAAGGTGACAGCTACAATTAGCATAGAAAAGCCTGATGAAATAAAGACAGAGTGAAGTCCCAAGATGAGAAATAGATTATCCGGCTGTCAGAGAAGACAGGAGACAAAAACACAGTTACTAGGGTGACAGGGTGCATAGTAGGAAAGAAGCTGTAGGAATAATAATAAAAGAAATGCTGTGGAGAAGCAATCAAAGTCCCTGAGGCAAAACAAAGCAGCAACTGGTAAAGGAGGATGGCAACACGTTCAAAGATGGATGAGGAAGCTGTTATAAATGCTTACTTGGAGGGGAAAACCTTGTATTTGAAAATGACACCACATATACACAAAGGAGTAGGGCAGCTGTAACGCACCGCTGGAAACAGCAGCAAGTCGTCCGTCAACTAATGTCAAAAAGTTACTCCAGGAAAGTAAAATGCAGGAACGTGTTTATGAAAATATGCCATTTCCATTATGGCTATCATAGAGAAGCAACAATATGCATAGGTGATTGGTTATTATTTAGAGAGCTGCTGCCACCCCTCTAAATAGTTGGAGCACAGAGGGATTAGGATTAAATAAAGTTCCTTTAGTCACAGTGATATTCACAGACCTTTGATGAATCCTATGAATGCATCATCATATGATTATATCAGTGTTTAACCATATCCTGGGAAAATGTTAATTTCCCTCTGCTTTCCTCTCATGAAGGCTCTGTTCACCCAACCCCAAACTTCAGCTGTATCATATAGCATTAGACTGCTGAGGTAAAGAGCTAGGTGAACATGAATCCATTCATCTAGTCCCATACTATACCTAACAGCAGCGACACTCTTCTAGAAAAAGAGGTGCCGGAACACACAATGAATGCCCCTTCGTTCTCTTAGAGAGGTGCTATAACCCACCTGAGAGGTGCCGGAACTGAGTTCTGGCTGAGAAAAAGCCCTGCCTAACACACCTCTAACTTGCTGTTCTTACATACAGTAACTAAGACGGTGTCAGTTGTTTCCATAACAATGTTTTCTAGGCTTTTCCCTATGGACAGTAAGGGCTAATGCAACAGCCACTCTTACTACCAATCCATTTTCAATTTCATAAAGTAACCTATATTCAACAAAAGCTGAAGGTGAAGCTCTGAACTGAGAAGGAATTTCCTGTTTGCTGGTGAAGAACCTTTTTCCCAAGTGCACATCCTCTGTGGCCTGGATGCAGAAGTTGCTCTCTGAGAGGCTACGGACTGACAGCGCTGCCATATAGCAGGGAGTTCAGCTTGATGGGCCTTTACTCCCTCTTCTGGGATTCTAAGTTAATCCCATCCTGTCTTATGAACATACTTGAGTTTAAGCACCTTAACTCTCATGCATGAGAATCTGACAGGCCTAAAACCAGCTTGGCCATGTCGCAGAATTTCAGAGGATCCACAAATAATAATAATATAGGGGAAGTATTTCTCCTGCTTCACCGTAAACACTGAGATGTGCTGCTATAATAAATAAAACAAGCATGGCCGAAGGTTTTGACTCTTTTCCTGTGGTTTCCTTTGGAACAAACACAGTCTGAATCACAGAGATACTCATTAAGAGGGGAAGCAACATTTCACACTACCTTGGTGAAGGTCAAACAGTCCTTGTCTTGATCCTTGTCCTTTAATTCGAAGTCATAAAGTGCTTTGCCCTGAGGTGGAGCTGGTGGGAGGGGCTTGACACACTGGATATAGCTTGCTGGGAAAAAGCCATGGTTTCCATTCAGTTCCCCGTGATACCAATTCTCGTCTACTTTTCGTCGCAGTATAATAATGTCTCCTTTGTTAAACTTGAGGTCACCAGGTTCCTTGCCTTCATAAGCATAGAGAGCTTTTCCGTAGGGAAGTTGAGAGTTCTGCAGCAACAACAAAAGGAGGATATGATGCAATGTGATTAAATCAATTATAATACCAGCATATACTCTTTTACATTTTTATCATTATAACTTGATTTATACACCAAGCATATTTCAGCATTATTAGTTTCAAGTTTTGTTGTCCTTTGGCGGTCATATATGGCTGATCTGCTCACTGCCAGACCCAAAGCACATGGGGTTGTATTCAACTAACTCTGACTCAGAACAGACTTATTGAAATGAATGAACCTAACTTAATCATGACCACTAATTTCAATGGGTCTACTCTGAGTACAAGTTAGTTTACCCATGGGAAGAAAAAACTCCCACAAAAGAAGACTGTCCTTTCTATCAGCAGTAGTTGCTTTTCTTGGCTGCTTAGTGTTACTAAAATATTTAAACACAATGCTATTTAGTTTACAATTCTATCTCCTAGTTTTGCAACTTTTGATCTCCAAGTACACGCTTTCCCTTTCTCTTCATAATATTGCTCAATAAATGATCAAATACTCGTGTAAATGGCACACAAACGTTCCCAAATGTTGCTACTACCCTGACTCATCCTCATGTCACAGGTTAATATAGACTTCTCATGTGAAATAACATATTGGCCGCCTTGCAGATTTCTGAGGGTGGGGAATCATCCTATAGAGACACAACATAGGTACCTGGACTTTGTTTAAACTAATCCTCACTGATTAAAAAGTCAACAGTTAACACTGTTTTGCTTTGGTCTGGATGATAACTTTTCAGCTTGCACCCCTTTTCAATCACAGAATTAGCCTAATAAAAAGTATCATCTTTAGCTCATTCATTTTTCTATGACTAACAGAGATAAAGAATTGTTTTTTAAGACAATATGAAGGATTTCAGTTAGGACCACTACCTATATAGCAAATTCACCATCTGGAAAATGACAGCATGGATAGTTTCAGTGATGACTAAAGAAATGCAGATACTTGTTTCAAATCCTTTTATTTTCCTCCCTAATCTGCCCCTGATTTGTTTCATCCACCAAGCGTTCAAATAATGAAGACCAGATAAGCTGGCCTTGGTACTCTGGAATAGTTTATTGGTTTCAACATGAGCCTTGAAAGATTTTGATTCGATTTGTCCTGGTACAAATCATTTTTTTTTAAACTGCACATCACAGTAAACCATAAACCATGGCTTATAGCCCACCTTGCTCCCACTCCACGCTGGAAGGAAAGAAAATATAATAACTGTCTTAGAATGACGTTCAAACCTGGGGCTGTGGATTACTTCATTTCAAACAAGCCATGAAGTGAAGCCAGGGTTTGCTCTTGGTTTACCAATCATGGTTTTTTTGAGCAAACACTGGTTTTGATGTAACTCTAAGCCAGGGGTGGTGTTTATTTCCCCCATGAACTATTGGGGAGGAAAAATGTGGGTAAGATTTCCTTGTGGAAAATGGTCTATGGTTTAGTATAATGTGCAAATGAGCGTCATAACCAGGGCTTGTATAAACTCAATTATTAAAGTCTGTTTCAGCACACAACAAAATTCTCTGTGTAGCGTATTCAATATTAATTTATCAATTACCCATAAAATGCATTAATCGCTTTTCTGCCTAGAAAGCGATCCAAGGCAATGTAAAATTCATTACAGATAAAATTAAAAACAACAACACCGAACGCTTGTAACGATAAAACAAGATGCAATAATGTTCACATGGATTGTCCCTATGGGAATACTCATTAAAAAGCAAGCAAAACCAAAACATAAAACACCCCCTTTTCACCCAAATCCAGCTCCACTTTTATGTTGTAGCCAGTCTCTTGATCTAATTCTTGCACTTCCTCAAAAATGGAATACATCAACAAAAGGGGAACTATCCATTGCAGGACTGATGTACTGGAATAGAAATGCCTGCCAGGATAGTGAAAAGAGGCAAATAATCTTTGCTCATAGCTGATGTCCATTTCACACGTTACATTTTAGGTGCACATCTTAAATGTATACCTACGAATGTGTGTGTATGTATGTACATGTAATGAACAGGTGTTCGCAATCAGGCAGGTACTCTTGTCTGCATCTCACATGTAAACTGTGGGAAACTCTGGTATATGATGTGGAATCAGAGAATCATAGAATTGTAGAGTTGGAAGGGGAACCAAGGGTCATCTAGTCCAACCCCCTGCAATGCAGGAATCTCAGCTAAAGCATCCATGACAGATGGCCATCCAACCTCTGCTTAGAAACCTCCAAGGAAGGAGAGTCCAATGTGTGAAAGGACCCTGAATAAAGGAAGCAGCAGAATTCTATTACGTACTAAACTAGCATTATGGCAGCTTATGACACCGTTGCCAATCTTGTTTCCTGTAGCTGCCCTGATTTATTGCTTTTTAAACAAAGTTTTCCAGAAAACGTAGCTTCACAATAAAGCACTTCCTCCACCCAAAATGAGGGGGGGGGAGGAGAGCACAAGGGGAATTGATTAGTCATATTGATTCCCCCATGCATTTCTTACATTAACAAGAAATAAAACAAGAATGCCCATCTACTATGGATTTAAGTCTGTCACAAAAATGGCAAGAGTTGGAGGGCAAAGGAGCATAGAAAAGTCACTACTCCATGTATGTCAATGTTTTCCTGCACAGCGCTGGATTCTGCAGAAGGTTTCTTTACTGTTTCAATCAATCAGTGCTGACTAGAAAGCCCGAAGCATTAATAGAGAAAGAGAAAGAGAATGAGAGAAGTATTTTAGCGAGGTCCTAATGATATGTTGGAAACTCAATCATTCTGCATTTATGTTTCAGCCAAATCAAACAGTAGCACTTAAGAAACTACCTGCTGGCAAATTGACAAACAACAATCACAAGGCAATTAAATGGTAACTAGAAGCCTGCAACCAGTGAATTGGGTGGTTAGTTTAAATCAATATATGAAATTTCACTCTCCACTATCTGCTGTCCTCTGCCTCTTTGGCAGCCTAGTCCACACTGGTCAGACCTCAACAACTCTCTTGCTTATCCATCTTCAACAGTGCCCAACTCATCTTGCTCCTTGACCTGATGTCAGCGCTACTTTCTCCTTGGCCTCTCCTTCTCCCCCAACTCCATGTCTCCATTACCTAAAGTTACTTCTTCTGCCAGCCTCCCCTTTTGTCCCAATTCCTTTGGCCCTGTTGTTTTGGCCACTATCCTAAAGCATTCCTGTTTCTATTTTCAATTCAGTATACAGCAACTTCTGCCTTTAAATGCTGGCCTGGTTTGCATGCCATGCCAAACCAAACCATGGCTTAGCACAGCTGCACAAGCCGGTATTATGGTCTTCAGACAAAGAGATTGAAGCTGCTTTGCTCTGCTGCACTAAGCGATGGGTTGGTTTGGCTAGCTGTCTGGGCTTGCATGTACCAGACCAACCATGAACTATAACCATGGCTTGTTCTATGGTTTATTATGGCTTGTAGTTTGCCCAGGAGAGCCAAACCACAAGTCTGTGTTTGAATACTAAGACTTAACTCAGCAAAGCACAGCAGCAGAAGACAAAAACAATCTTTGCTATGGGAATCCACATGCCCACACGTTTATGCTAAGCCACAGTCTACTGCGAGGCAGGGGAATTGGCTCCTAGGGGCTGAGCCCTTTTGGTGGGGGCAAGGGCTACAGTCGCCCCCCCCCATATCCATAAAACGCAGAGGCTTCTGCTCCTCCTTCTCCTGCCGCAGAGGGGAAGGAGGATCAAAGCAGCTTCTTGTCTGGGGCGGCACCAAGAGGGGGCAAAGGAAGAGCCACCAGCCATTGAGCCACACAACCACTGCATTCAGCTCCGCCCCCAGCTCCTCCCAACATCCTGACACCGTGTGTGTGATGTCAGCCCCCCAGTGGCCCTTACAAGCTCTGCTGCGAGATTGCGCATTGACTCCTTCTTGACTCTGTTCTAGGTCTCTTCAGCATTCATCTTTCTTTTCTTCCACTCAACCTTCCCTCTTCGTGTTAACAGTCCATTGCATATGCTGTATCCTTCCTTTAGTCAACGACCTTGTCTCTGGGCTCCATGCTTCTGAGCTTCTCTACATTCCGGTACCTCTTTCCAGTCCTCAACCTTCTTTTTTTAGCAACTGCATGAGCTTCCCTCCTTTCATAGAAACTCCACGGCAAACAACTTTCTTTCCTGAGTAGTTGGAATGATCATGAACCAATCAGAACCAGAGGCTTCACTTTACCAAAACATATAGATACTGCAGGATCTTTCCGTACAGAGATTAGAGAACAAGAGATGGGGAAAGCTGCAAATACAGTGGTACCTTGGTTCTTGAACTTAATCCGTTCCAGGAGTCCGTTCGACTCCCGAAACCATTCGAAAACCAAGGCGCGGCTTCCGATTGGCTGCAGGAGCTTCCTGCACTCAAACGGAAGCTGCGGAAGCCACGTCAGATGTTCGGCTTCCAAAAAATGTTCGCAAACTTACTTCTGGGTTTGCGGTGTTCGGGAGCCGATTTGTTCGACAACTAAGCTGTCCGGGAACCAAGGTACCACTGTAATTCTCCTACAGGAAGATTTTGTCCTATAATTACCATACTTTAAAATGAATATTTCCTGAGTACTAGAATAAGGTTATTTTGTGAGTTAGCTTCAAAGGTGAAATAGTGAAAGGATGTCAAAGGTTATCTTAGCTCCAGCAAGCAATGAAGGTGATCTCTACCAAAAAAACCCCAAGATCTATTGAGCACATTTCTTAATATTTCAATGCAAGTGCTTACAAAAGGTGACCTTATTGCCTTAAAAAATCAACACCAGTCAGGAATTTGAAGCAAATATTTTAAGACACAGCTCAAACAATTAAGGCCGACACACAAAGGACCATGCAAACAGTTCTAGCCACCCAAGGGGATTCTGGGTGTGTGCGTTTGGACATTAGACAGCTCCCCACCCCACGTCACATGGCAAACCCCTTTGAAACTGAAGGGACTTTGGAAAGAAAAGAATCTATTCAAAGGGGATGCAGAGAGGTCATCAAACAAAATACTGAGCATG